ACCAAGGATTAAGTGTAGAAAATCTTAAAGAATCAAGTTGACTGCTCTTCTCAAGAATTAAAAGACACTTTTTTTTTTTTTTTTTTTAAATCCAGTCCTCCAAATTCTCCAGTAATATAAGATCAATTTATCATTTGTCATATCCAAATGGTAAGTAAATGAACAGATTCACCATTGGGCTTGCTATCCAAAATATTCCCAGAGGAATATAAATGAATGCATCATTTACAGTGGCTAGATGGCAGTTCAGAAGACAATTCCATGTTCTAGCCATTATACAACTTCTATATTGCATAAACATATTCTGGTGTATTTTGGTTCACTATCTGAAGAAAGGCCATAGGAAATTAAAACTGTGAATGTGAGGATTTATTCATTGTTTTAGAGAACTTGAACCGATGTTTAAGTATCGTGTTTCTACAAGAAGCAACACTGATGTATCAGTAAATATTTATGTGTGAAACTGGGAAACTTCATCTAATGACAGATCTGTTTAGTGGAAGATAAATTTGCACTGGAACACATTTCAGCAATTTAAGTCAATAGAAATTTTATCCCTTTTCTTCATATCTATTTATCTTCATCTTGATTACCTGTAAAACGGTGATAATATGCTCAAGTGTTGTATGTACCTAAAATCACCCTGGTTCCCAGCTTTATCAAATTTGTATCATTAACAATGATTATAGATATTTTATAGGAAATATATCAAAAGATCAGCACATCTCTCATACATTTTCTTTGCTTGGGACCTCTCTGGGTCTTGATGCCACAGGTGAATATTTATGCTGCCTATTGTTTCAGTGAAAAAGAGCTTTTACAGATAATTGTTTTTATAAGCTCTAGGGATATATTCTTTCTCAGCTGTCTGAAAAGATGATGTGAGATTGTTGTGACACATGAAATAGAAGATTTAATTAAAAAAATGTTATTAACTGGATAATTTCACTTAAGTATTTAAACCTGAATGTAAAACGATGTATTGAGTTAGCTGGGAGGCTGCTGTTACTGGACTTTCTCACCTGAGACTTCTTATGAGAACAATTGCTTCTTTTGACGTGAAAAGTCAGCTGCTCTGTCTGACAATGGCTAGTAATGCCTTTTCTATATTTTCTGCAGTAAAAGCATGTTAGAATTCATTGTAAATTGAAGCAGGGGGCTACAAGGTACTTGGAGCTCAAAGCCATGACAAATAGTAAAAGTGTGAGATTTTTAAAGTGACAGTTTAATGATAAATTTGACTGAATATCTGGAGAACTACACAAAAATTCCGAAGCAATTTAGCTTAAATCAAAGGCTATTTACCATGGTTTGCTTATTTTCTGAGGACAAGATAACAATCCTGTAGTAAGTACTTGAGAAAATCGTCCTTCATTGTAGGCATGTTTCAAAGGGAAATTTACATATGCAGCTGTCTAATCACTTCCTTGATTGTGGTCTACTTTTATGTGTCTCAGAAGTAGTCTATATACAAGGAGATTAGATTCGATTCTTTCTTGTGGCCCTGTGAATAACAGTGCAAGTATAATATACAAAGGTTTAAAGTGATAAAAGAATTACAATTTTAGAGAAGTTGAAAAGAGCAAAAAAAAAATATAGTTAATCTCTGTTTATCTTTCAAAATGTCAGGCTCTTTACAAAATTGCCACATGCCACAAGTACAATTTTTTTAAGATTTTGTTTTAAATACAGATTTGAAATCAATTTAAGAACTTTAAAATTCCATGCTTTCTTTTTATAGTGTACCTTCTCCCTCTTTCTAACTGTACTCCCTTTCTTCCCACATCATTTCTAATTGTCTAAACCACAAGGCATATTCAAAGATGACCCATCTGTGTAAAGCAAAGTAAATATTTCCAAAAATTACTACCTTTTTTCCTCTCCAAACTACTTTCAAAAGCTATACTTTCTTTAAAAGTGAATTAAAATTTATTTCTAGCCCAATGGCATTTTTAAGATCTAATGTATCACTTTCTTAAAATGTAGTAGTTAACAATATTTTTGTCTATGAGATCTATACAGTCATAGTAATTGGATAAAATTCTATCCCTGATAGAGTCAATTGAAAAACTAAACTTTATTGACCATTAGTGACTGAGTTACATCCATTAGATGAAGGAAAGCTTCTCGCTGGATTAAAATGTATAGAAAATACTAACAAGGACAGTTCTAGACAATTTTTAATGTTTCTGAAATTGTTTCCTCGTTCTGTCATTATACATAGAATATTTAGCTTAGGCAGCTAAATATTGGTGTGGTGCAGTCATGCACAATGTCTATATCATAAGAGAAGCCACAAAGTGTCTCTTTATTTAACTTGTCTAACACTTATTATAAAGAGGCAATGCAACCTTAGTTTATTGATATTAATAACTGTATTTCATATTTGGTGGGGGACAGTGTGAAAGTTTGAGTAGTAAATTGCTGAAAGAAATATCAGCATTTGCCTCATCTCATTTTGCATTCATCAGGAAGATTATATACAGCTGCCAAAGTCAATGGTTCTTCTAGAAAACTTTTCCCATGCCACCACAGGAGCAGCAGATTCTGCTGTTGAAATGCCACAGGAGCTGCAATTGCAGCTGAAGGGAAGCATTCTCTGTGGATTGGTTGCGTTGGTGTCTTGGTTTAAAAGACAGGTGTCTGTGGAGGAAGGCAGGAGCCTCCCTTGAAATGGAAAGTGCAACCCCCTTCCCTCCAAATTATTATAATTTTGAAATTAACGGGCCTTCAGGCAAAGATATGGGGAATAGGAATAACAGTTCTTTACTAATATATATATATAACACAAGGCAGGGAAAAACAAACAACCCACTGGTTTACACTGACAGAGTCAGGAGTACAACCTGACACCCTGTTAGGGTGGCAGTAGCAGTCCGATAAGATGCTGGCTGCAGTCCTCCTGAAGTGATGGATGTAGTTCTGTGGAAGCAGCAATCAGGTAAAAGAGTCTGGTCTTCCTCCGAAGGTCCAGTGGTAGGTAGGTAGCTCTTGTCCTCTGGAACTCCAGTGGGGGGAAAAGCTCCTCTGGGAATCCAGTGGAAGAAAGGCTGCTAGGGTGTTCAAAATCTCCGTTTTTATTTGGCATGGACTGCTTGGCTCCTTCCCCCACCTCCCCGGGCGGAGCATCTCACAATGGGATGGGGAGTCGTGAGGAAGTTCCTTGATGGGCCATTAACAGGAGATAGCCCAGGAGCGAGTTATCGATGGGTCAGGCGATAAGGCATTGTTGTGCTCAGTAACAGGAGATAGTCCAGGGGGGGAGACAGGGAGCACCGCCCCAACTGGTCTCAACAGCTCCTGAAGATGGTAATAGAATATTTTTTTTTTCCTTTTGGCACATTTTACACTGAAACCCAGGACAGTTGGCAAGTTGAAATGCATTCCTGACTTTCAAGTACTTGGTTATGCAACAAAACTAACATTTTATAGTATTTGGGGAAAGGAGAATGGGCATTGATACCTAATTGATATTCTTTTGAGATGACTTGTCACCTGTGTTACAGCGTTTTACAGTCTGAGTGGTCAATCCAAATAGGTGCTGCTGAAATCTGAATACCAATAACATAGAGCAAAACCTGGTTTTATATTTTCATGGAAAATCTCTGAAGATAAGTTAATGTCAGAAAACCAATGTCTCAATCTCTATATGATTAAGTATATACAATAATTAAGCTTTTATTTTTATAGTGAGCTTATCCTATCCAGCATTGACATTGATGCAACTGGAGATTGGGAATGTCTAGTCAACAATTCCTATGGAAATAGCACTAAACAAGTAGAAATTGTGGTACTTGAAACAGCTGCACCCTACTGCCCTGCAGAAAGAGTTATTAACAACAAGGGAGATTTCAGGTATGATTTTCTGGTTTTGAAGTGTATTTCTATATTAATGTAGATACAGTCCATATTCATGCTTACATGATACTTCAGTGTCAGTTATGAAGATATAACTTATTTACTTGTCTTTTTTATGCAATATAGTAGGAAGGAGGAACACTGTGTGATTTTTATGGGAAATGGCAGTTAGTGCTTCAAGAGCAGCAGTGGTTTGTGAAAATTAGAGAATCTTTCTTCTAATTCCTCAGCGTGAGATAATAGAAAATTTCAAAAGATGTCAGCTCTGTACAGCTAAATGAGAGAGGATTCAAAATTGTTCTTGGTCTTTTCTAAATTATAGGCTATGATAACACTGCATTAAAGCATTAGAAGATTAAATCTTCAGTACTTTTCTAATCTGTTCCAGTTCTGCTGGTTTTGTTCAGCTGAGATTAGAGGTAACCAATAACATGAAAACAGTTAGTATAATATTTCACTGAAGAGAATCAAAACAGCAAGTAAAACTACTTAGTAAAACAAATGGATCATTTGAGGTGAGCTTAAGGACAAACACAGTTCCACCAATATATGACATGATAAGAAAAAACATCCATCCTATCTGAATCTTAGAGTCTGCACAATTTTGTTGACTAAATGTGATTTTTGTTTCATCTAAACTGAAGAAAATGAAGAAAAATATAAGGATTCTGTGGAATTTGGTATTGCTTTCAGTTAGCTCTAAAATACTTCAATGTTAGTCATAAAGTTCTTAAACAAAATATAGTTACCTGTTTGACAGTAACACTGATGTATGATGGCATTCCCATTGAGAAATCAAGGTAATTTGTTACCAAGTGTATTATAATAAGAATTGACCTTGGATAGTTAATGAAAGGAAAAGTGGACGAGAGAGGAAGCTTCTCTTAAGCGCCAGAACTTTCTGCAAATACTTCTGACCTGAAAGCCTCTCTTGTTTTTTAAGTTACCTGTAAAACGTTTTCAAAGGCCTTTTACTACTATTTATTGTGTTTGTATAAAAATAAAGGAATGAATTAGAAAGAAGTGGAGAAACCAACTCACGCAATAGGTTTTCTTTTTAATATGAAGTTATTTTATTACATGTTAACCTCAGTTCCAGTGAGTATACCACATTTGCTGAATATATATTTATATACCTATTTAATCCATATATATGGATTAAAATCCATTAGAGATCTTTGACAATCTCAGCTATAGATTTTTTTTGGTCATCACAAAAACTGCTGTTGTGTTTTCTCATAGTGAACGTGCTTAAATGTATTTTAATTAGAACTTTTAAAATATGTATACTTCCTATGAGATAATACATACTGAATCTCTTAGATGACCACTTTATGAAGTTCATGTTTTTGCCATAAAATGACATCCTTTTCTTCATCAATAAATTTATATAAATTCTACAGACTGCACAAACTAACACCAGGGGCATTTTTGTCGTTTTATATAAATCAAAAGAACAAGAGTGCACATTTCTGTCCCTATTGATCATCTTTCTAGAAATCCATATGAATTTATTTTTAAAGTGTATATCAAAAGATGATGAGTCCATAGGTTCTTTTGGTATTTGAATGAATTAATTTAAAATTATAGGGAATTTAGCAGGCTCAAACTCAGCATTAGCACTTGAAATTGTTCTAAAGGTTTATCCTCAGATAGGTAGCTATCACACCAGTAATTTTTCTTACAAAGGTCTTTGAAGTCTTGGTAACATAGCAAGTGTGTAACTAGAAAGAATTGAACCACAAAAGCAAAGCTAGAAAGAACAGTCCTTTTATTGGGGAAAAAAAAAAAAGGAAAAAAGCATCAACTGTTAGGGAATTGTGGTTCTTTCAGTTGACCAGCCTAGGTGGTATTTATAATTGCACAACTGCAGTAAGAATTAGGCACTGTGAGTCAGAACGAACTGGCCTTATGTAAGAGTTTTTCTCTATGATGGCCATGTTTTGCTCCTTTTTTGTTTTCCAGCTCTCTGTAAGATCATTCTTATAAGGTAATGTTGTTATGTTCTATCATTCCTATTCATAAAGGCCAGACTCTGCTCCTGTGCTAATACTAGTTTCAGAATTATCTCTTTAGTTTTACTTTTGAGGCAAGTTGGTTCATATTACATCAACTGTTTTTACATCACAAAATTAATTATTCCAGTGACAGCTATGACATATATAAGTATTTTTCTTCTTACCTTTCATCTGTTTGAAACAAGGAAAACTTACATAGCCCAAAACCTATCACTATATTATGTAAAAATGTCCAAATAGACCTACATTGTATAACTAAGAGGGGCTAATATGTATGTTTGAGCTAAGGCTGCTTGTCAAGGTGTGGCTTCACTGGCAGGCAGACTGTTTTTCTGAGTGATTGGGTTCAGTCATTACATCAGTGCAATTGAAGAGCCATATCCTTTCCAGACATACTGACCTGCTGATCATACGCTTCTGGTTTTCTTTGATTTCTCCCAATTACCTGATCCTGCTGTGTCCATACTAGCCTGGAAATGACAACAGATTTGGTACCAAAAGAAATAGATCCCAGTTGTGCCATTCTAGAGAATGCAGCAAATATCCAGAAAAAGAGCTAGATAGAAGAGTTCTGGCTGTTCTTGATTTATAGTTTATTTTCAAAGACTCTTCTGGAATCACACTGCATAAATTTATATCTTAATAATTAATTTTTGAAGGCTACCTTCTTCCTCCTCCATAAAACATAATCTCTGCTGAAATCTTGTTTATTGGTTTCAAATACATTCAGGGATTTTTGTTTTTCAAGGCTTTGTGGCAGAGGGGGCTTTGTAGTGTTGGGTCAAAATACAAAGCAAAGATTGTCAGGTACATATTGAGTATTTACCTTTTACAGCATTTAGTAATAGGGTTTGGGGTTGGTTTTTCTTTGCTTATGGACTTACTGCTCTGCTTTGTGCGGTCTGCAAAGATGAATGCAGGGAAAATGCCATCCATTTTTTTTACTTTAACACCAAACATCTTTTGGGAATTAATGCAGAATTAATGTGTGACCAGCCAGATTTGAACCTGTATAATTTTGACATTTTCAAAGGAAACAAAATAATTCAGTATAGAACATAATTAAGTAAAATTTAAAATAGTCCTTTTTTTTTTTTTTTGTATATTCTGTATATTGTTGCTATATTGTAAGTTGCCTTTAGATAAGAAGTTTCTTGTTGTAATTTTTTATTGTCATGTTGCTCATAGATGGCCCAAAACTTTGGCTGGGATAACTGCTTACCATCCCTGTCTCCAGTATTCATTTAACTCCATTGCCTTTCACAATGGCGCAGAAGAGTCTAAGGCATGGCGTAAATGTAATCGAACTGGACGTTGGGATGAAGATAACTATTCTGAATGTCCTTATTCACAAGAAGTAACTCAAGTTCTTCATGCTTTTAGTCAGGTAACGTTATGAAATTCAAGGCTGCCCTTTTCTAGCACTGATTTTATTGAATAGCTCACAAGAAATGTCTGTTCAGCGACAAGTTTGGGATAGCTGGACTTTTTTAACAAAATGTTTTACTTGAAAGACAATGTGTTTGGTAATTGAAGTTGTAGTAGGAACAAGTGCACAGCATTTTTGCTCTGGGTGCCTGGAGTCTAGATGACCGTTAGTAATATCGGCAGGGTCATCAGTGCTTCAGTTCCTTCTTTGCTTCCCGTCATGCATTTTTACTGGAAAGATGTTAATTTCTCTTGAAATATTGTATCAGAGTTTTGTCAGCCAAAAGTGCCTTTCCTCATTGCTATTGTCCATACTATATTTAAAAGAGCTATAGAAATGAAGCCTACTTTAGAATGCCTTTTCGATATCTTCTAAAAAAAGCAGTACTTAAATGGTTTCTAATAGATAAGTAAAAGGGAGAATAATATTAAAAGTAAATGGATAGAAATTGATGAGAAAAAAATTGATAACACCACAGGAAGTTTGTTTTCAGATGTGTTCATATTAAGAGAGCCAGTCCATTCTCCTGTAAGCAGGCCAGGTTTCTCAGGGCTTTAACCCCTCAGGTCTTTAAAATATCTGAGGATAGAGGCTGCACAGCCTCTGAGGGTAACCTGTTCAGATGCCTCAATATTCTCATGGCAGAAAAGATTTTCTTCATAACCAGACTGAACTTCTCTTCTTTCAACTTATGACCATCGCCCTTGTTCTCCCACCATGCACCACTGTATATGTGAATTCTCACTGATACTGTTGTTGTCAGGGTGATCTAAAGATATGGTCAAGGCAAGGTTAGTAGTTTGGTATAATATTTTATGAGGCCAGTTAGTTACAGTCTAGAAAAAGTAGACAAAAATCTTAAAAATTTGTTGGCCTGTTGTGGTGGTGTCTTCAGATAACAGCAATGAAATCTAAGACCTAATCCTGAAAACACATTCGTATGCTTCTGAAATTTATGTCCGTGGTACTACTGATGCATATAAATCCATGTGAAATTATAGCAAGCATTATAGAAATAGACATGATCTCCAGTTTTTAAAAGAGAATGAAGCTAGCTGATTTATTACACCTAACAATTCTGGTGTATTTTCAGATGCACATCAATTTGACAACCGTGCTTGAATTTTCCCGCCAGCTGACAGCCTACACAAGAGGTGCTTCCCACTTTGCGGATAAAATGGATGTAATATATTTGGCTTATATAATGGAGAAGTTAATTGTCTTCGTGGATGAAGTTGAAGATGTAAGATATCTTCTCTATGCTGAAAAAAACAGTATCACTTGGAAGTGAAGTCTTCACGTGTGGCCCTGTTCTTAATCTGTGCAGGCACACACTGAAGAGTAGCTTCTAAAATTGATTGCTTGTGTTCTGATTGCAAATGCTCTGTGTATACTTGATATGTTTCTTTATGCCAGAAAGGACAACTAAGCCACCTCATCTGACTGACAAAAGCATTGCTGTTTAGGAATAAACATTGTTTCAATTAAGCCACTTCTTTAATTTTCTTTTTTCACTTTAATTTCTACCGTGTCCAACATATTAGAATGAACTCAAGATGCCTTTCCATCTCACCACTGGAGTTACACATGCTTCTTTAGTTTTCTCCTTTTCATCAAGAGGTTGCACTGAGTTTTGAAAGCATGTATCACTTTATGTAAAGAGATGATAAAGTGTCTTTAAGTGCGACTTCCTACAGAAAGTTTTAGCATAATGTATGGCATTTTTATAGTGAAATCTAATCAGAGTTATGCAAACCCTATAGGAAAAATAGGTTTCTATAGAAAATAGCAATGTTCACCATAGATTTTACTGTTAATTTTCAGAGTAACTGCTTGCATAAAGATTTCATAACCTATAATTTTGTACACATGATGGCTATAGTTAAAACATTTGTTTTCTTTTGGTTTGGCAGTGTTCATTCCATTCTGGCTCTGGGGTGTGTGTAACAGTTAACATTTTAGTGCCAATTTGAGAAAGCCTCCAACTTCAATTTCATCATTATATGCCAGACATAAAGTGTATTATTAAGTGCTCTCCAAGAATTCTGTTTCAAAGCTACAACTGTATTTCAGCTCAAAATCCTGATAAGATCTTACTGCTTTCTGATGGAACAAAAGTTTGCCATCCAAAGGAAATGAGTGGATTTACCATAAAGCTTCTTTGTTTTGCTAGCAGCTGATGCATTATCCATTAAATTGAGCATCATCTCTATTCTTTTAATTGATTTCTTCCACCTTTCAAATAGGTTTCAGATTCTGGTTTTTTTTGGTATCAAAGCATCCCCGTCTCCACCACTAATCTCTACATCTTTTATTTTTGTAATCCCTTATTGTTTTAATAATTTAGAACTTCTCTCCTAATTTGTTTCTGTTTCCTTCTCTGTTTTGAACTACACACTTTTTCCTGTGTCTCAAGTTCACTAAGTAGGTTCCTCATACATTGAGCTCTTTACTAACATCCATTTCTTAACTCTCACTCTTAAGGTACAAAAATCCATGTGAAGTTAAAGTGTCAGTAGGTTCACACGAGGCTGCTCTCATGTAATTATAAATAGGATTGAACTTCATTTAATACAAGGCAACATGTGAACAAAGGTGTATTAGTTTGGAATCAACTAGCAGCTGAAACTACAGTTATATAAAACCATTAGAAATTAATGAAAATATATACACAGATGTCTTCTGTGATTTATCAAAATAATTTTAAAATCATTTCAGCTTTAGCTGTACATCGTCTCTGGGGAGTGCCTCCCCCAGTCAGCACAGGATTATTCATTTTTATAAAAATTAGCAGCACTTTGCCCATCGAATGGTTCACCTCTACAACAAGCGAGCTTTAACAGCTGCACTGGGGACATATTTGCACATATTGCATTTTGTCGGGAACATGTGCACATATTAGCCCAAATTTTTGTATTTTTTAATGCCATGCCTTTACTTTTCATTAATGCATTTAATTATTATATAAATTACTTCCTTTTCTTATATCTCTCCTTCTGTATATTTATAGACTATTGTTCTGCCCTCATTAACTTACTGTTTAGCTGAGTGGTTTATGCTTTAATCGTTTCTCATAAATCACTTCAGTATTGCATGTGTTTTGTTATTATTCATTGTATCAATAACTCTGTCACACTGTTAAAAGCCATCTAGAATTATCTAGAAATTGTGTTCTCAAAAATAGATTAAATATTTCAGGAACAGTCACATAAGATTTCATGTATAGTCTAATTATTTCTGTCCCATGCAATGCATGTGAAATTCTTGTGGTTTTTTATTGAAAATGCAGAACTAACTTCAAAACTTCAGTCATTTCTTAAACCTTTTTCACCATTGCTGAATTTCTTTTCCTTCCCACTGAATTATCTGTGTATTTGCCTTATTTTTCAGTTTCTATTAGTTCGACTTTTTAGCCTCTTGAACTTTTCTTTGGCTTCTCGGTCATTCTTTCTTTTCTATATACTTATTCATTCAGGTTTATTTGTGACAACCTTGTGTACCTTTGGCATATCTTTGCCTTCAAAAATAATGGTAAAATGGTAATGTTAATTTTGAAATCTCACTTAAATTGTTTTAGAATTTTAAAAAGTGTTTTAATTTCAATTTGAAATAATCATAAAAAATACTCACAGTATTTTTTATTCTTTCTAAATGTAATATACTAATAGAAATTTGAAGCACATAGTCATACTTACCAAAATCTGCAAAATACCATCTGGCAAAACAAAGATTTAGCAGTTTGGGTTAGCCACAAAAGTGAATTAAAACATCCAAATAGGCCTATACTTTCTGTATAGCCAATGAGATGATATCATAGAATAGTTTAGGTTGGAAAAGACCTTTGAGATCGAGTGCAACTGTTAACCTAACACTGACAAGTCCACCACTAAGCCATGTGCCTAAGCACCACATCTATGTGTCTTTTAACTACCTCCAGTGTTGGTGACTCCCACTTCCCTGGGCAGCCTCTTCCATTGCTTGACAGCCCTTTTGGCAACGAAATTTTTCCTAACGTCCAATTTCCTCTTGTCCTATCTCTTGTTACTTGGGAAAAGAGACCGATGCTCACCTTGCCACAACCTCTTTTCAGATAGTTGTAGAGAATGATAAGGTCTCCCCTCAGCATCCTTTTCTCTTTTTCTTTCCTTTTTTCAAACCTCCTATAGGTTTGTATCAGCACTTGAGTTATATCTCAAATTTACCCCACTATGTCTGTAACAAAAATGTCTTTCAATATATTTTTCCCCTCTTTTTTTTCTTTTTTTCCCCTCTCCAAAGATCCTTTGATTAAACATGAAGCAGTTCTTTAGAGGGGCATCATCAGTTTTAATTAATTTAAGAAAGAGGGTGATGATTCTGGGATTCCATTTATCACCCAATGAGAGACTAAATTTTTGTGGTGTATCTAGAAGATAAGCTTTAAAATTGTGAATAAAAAAAAAGCTTTTCCTTGAAGTCAGTTGCACTTTTCTTCTCTTGGTCTTTAATTTTCAATCCGTTTAGTTTTCTTAATAGAATCAAAATTGTCTTTGAATGGTGGTCACCAAGAGAAGTAAGGTGCCTGCTTTCACTTGTACTCTGGTGTACTCTTCTCCTAATCTTGTGAGTTTTCCAGGCCAATACCATTTTGGGGTTTTTGTTGTTTGGTTTTTGTTTTTTTTTCTCTTCCAGATTGGGGATGCTCTTATTGAAATTGCCAGCAACATAATGTTGGTCGATGACCGTGTGTTGTGGATGGCTCAAAAGGAAGACAAAGCCTGCACCAGGATTGTAAGATGTGTGGAACATATTGCAAGTCAAATACTGACCAATAATATTCAAGTTATATCAAAGGTATTTCATAAAATTACACAGCTTTTTGTCAGAATTTATTTTTTAAATGTCATATTTCCTCACAATTTTTACACCCAACTAATATGTAGAGAAGAGAGATTGTGTAAGCCACAGCGTAGCTGATTTACGTAGATATACTTGGATTTTGTGATTTATTTTTTTTTTATTCTCCTGGATTCTATTTGGAAGACCAAAATATTTTTTTTTAGTATCACTGATGGTATTAAAAAGTGTGTTTTCTTGACTTTGATTTATTGTATTTATTGTTACAATAAACTGTTCACAACACTATCTTAACTATTCACTAAGTTTCTATTGTTCTTGCCATTGTACCATATGGGGTTTTTTTGAAAGGTCCAGGTTGAGTGAGTGAAATTTTTGATAAAAGATAACATTCTTCCTTGTTACTTGAAGATTTTAATATGCCTTTCAGAGAGGATTCTAGACAATACTTACTTAAAGCATTTAGAAAATTATCAAAAAAGGTTTATCTTTTCATAAAGGTTACTCATTTGTGGTTAGTTTTAGTGTTTTAGAAGGAAACTGTAACACTATGAAATAATTGTTCTTATTCCTTGGCCTCCACCTACCTGAATTTGTCAGTTAGATACCGAGGGATTGTAATTTGGACACAGAGAAACTGTCTTTTTGTCAGTTTCAGCATCTAAATAGCAGAAATGCATCTAAAGCAGCGGCTTGCAACTTACCCTTTTAGAATTTTATATAAATACTTTAAAGTCTTATCACTCCTTGAATTGGTTTGTGTTCTGGTTTGGCTGGGATAGGATCGTAGGCCAGCCATGCTAGGGAAGCTAAGTCAGCCAGGGCAGCTGACCTGAGTTAGCTACAGGTGTAGCCCATACCATAATGTCATGGTCATTATAAAGGGGGAAGGATAGTGAGGAAGTGGATCTCCTGTGGGGTTCCCTCTGGGCTCCTCCTGCTCCTCCTCTGGCTTCTTTCTTCTCCTGATGACTGGATATTAATTTGACTGAGTATAACTCTGTATAGCTCTGTTGGTGTTGGTGTTATCTGATTAAAATCTGTTCTCACTTCTACCCCTGGGTCTGTTCTCCTTTTTCCCCAACTTCCTTTCCTGGCTGGTAAGGGGTTGTCAGGTGATAGAGAGACTGTTATAGTTTAACCCCAGGTACAGGCTAAATGTAGACAATTTGCTTGATTGATTTTAAACAACCTTTATTATTTTCTCAATTATCCACTGCATTTACACAAATACACTATTTAAAAGTGAGTTCACTGTTAGTTTCAATTACAGCAATAAGGTATAAAAGTAAAAAAAAACCCAACCCCCAGTTATACACTGAGCTGAATTATAGGCTGAGCCAAATAGCATAATGGCCTTAGATCCTTCGCTGTATATTTTTAGAAAAGCAGTCTTTCAAACAAAGACAAAAATATATTGGAGTGTTTTCTAAAGGAAGGTTTTATTTAATTCCATTTACATAAAAAAAAATGAATTAGAGACATTAATATGCCTTTTAAAGGTATTTTGCAATGTGACAGCTAGGAGGGCTCTGTTGCTTTATAGTTAAATTTCTTTTAAACATCAGGTGCCAATGATCTTTTTTTTTTTTTTCCCTTGTCACTGCTTTAGGATGCTGTTGGTGTTACCGTGAACAGTAATTCTATGTACTCAAATGTAGATCTGTGTCACTAACCTTTTTACCATGCTTTATCTTTCTACTGCTTATAGTTTTCTGTAAGAGAATTAGTTTACTGTTGAGTGCAATTTGTAAATAAACAAAGCTGTGGAGTTTTCTGGTGTCATCTCATGCAATACCAAATACTTCTGTTCCTTTGGGAGGCCAGCCAGCAAACTGTCTCGCAGAAATTGCATCCACTTTCTTTATTTTAAACAACAGCAAATAAATTCCCCAAAGCTTAGGTAGCCGCTATCTTATAATACAATTCCTGAAAATCAGGAACCCCTATAAACTGTGTCAGTCATATAACATATGCACAACTGCGTTCCCTGTACATTGAAAAGCTACCTGGGAGCCTTGACTGTTACTCTGACATCATTTTGGAAGATAAAAATGTTTTTCCAGTTCAATGAGGTTGTGGAATAACTGATTTCAAGGTCAGAAAAACCTCAGGGAAGTACCACCTTGGTTTAGATCCTCTTAAGCCTCTCTTGCTGTCAAATGGCATACAAAACATGCTGCTGGAAGAATCGACAGCAGCGACTTTCAAATGCTAGATACTTTCATATGTACATATAAAATATGATCTGTTTCATTTAATGATCATATAACAGTAAACCAAAGACGTTATTCTGCTGTATGGTATTTAAAATCTTAGAGAAGTCACACAGACAAAGTTGTTGTCAGGATGCTGCAAGGGCCAGAGCCTCCCCAGCCAGGGCCTGTCCCACTGTGCCCAGCCAGGGAGCGGGGCAGGCCGGAGGCAGCCCCAGCCCAGAGGCACATCCTCAGGGGCGGTGATGAGGCCAGGAGGGGAACGTGAGGCTACAGATCAGGGCGAGGGTCAGGCCTAGTGATGGTAACTGAGCCCAGTCACAGCCCAGTGGTGGCCAGGCCATGGCAAGGAGGCCAGTCTCAGGTCAGTGGTGGGCCTCTCATTTCATTCTCCAGCTGATGAGGCTGTCAGAATATTTTAGGTTAATTGCAACGTGGTTTTTTGATTGCGCTCTCAGTCTTTGCAACCTTCAGCACTGCTCTCAGCTTTCTCAGGTAACAATCCCCTTTGGTCCTTCTGCTGAGTGGTGCCTTTATCTGAGATTTAGGAAATGGACATTTCATTGTCGTTCATGACATTATCATTTTCTGTATCTGTACTGCTTAGACACATGGTTAGCTTGTGTCTTTTCATAACATGTACCTGACTGTGGCTTGTTTCCGTGGATAATTCACTCTGAGTTCATCTGTATCCATTTTGTAGCTTGTTTTACAACGCTACATGATGAACACTGTTTTACCTTGCATTTTACTCATCTCTTCTATATGCTAAGAATGGCATGTTCATGATAAGGTTTCATTGTTCTGGTAGTCCCATGACTTTTACATGGTTAGGATACCCTCTAACCTGCCCTTATTTTTTATGCAAAATGTTTTCTTTAGTTTGTTTATTAGTATGAATTAATGGATTTTCTTCAGTGAAGTAATTTCTTGTTGGCAAGATGCCCCAAATTCTGAAGGATTCACACTGATTTTTACTAAGTGGATTAAAGGTATTTCTATGTTGCTAGCTTGCATAACAAAGTACACTAATATAAAACTGCCATGTTTGTCTATGTATCCTTCTGATAAACCTGCTAATTTGTGGCTTAACTCAGCTATCTTTACGTTGCAATCAATGTACAAAATACGTACAGCCACATATCGCTGAACAATCTATTCCTGGAAGCAGAAACCATATAGTCCAATCAGCATGGTGCCAGTCTAAGCTAGTCAACCTGATTATTACATGAGCTATTTAAATGATGCACAGAACTGTGCTGAAATGAATATACTAGTTTAAGATGGAGACGCATGTATCTGCACTGTGTTACAATTTCCACCTAGACACATCACTTTAGTAAAGAGCAGGCCAAAGACCTGTAATGTGGTGTTGCATTGAACCATAAAGTCATGTTCAATATTCTAATGGAACAAGATCTGTAAAAAAACCAATCCGTCCACCAAATGACTAAGAAGTTTTCTGTTTCATTTTTGAGGTACAAAGCACATCCTTGTTCATTTTTTAAATAATTTCTACAACTGTTGTTGCTAGTTCACTTTGTATTGCTTTAAATCATGATTCATTCTGTTGAAGCTGATAATGACACAATTGCAAAACTGATATAAATAACAGATGTAAGAGATATAAGCTGATATATTCCTGAAGAAGAATCAAGTAAACCCACTATGCCATTGTAGAATCTGATACCAGTTTTTTCAATAAGTTTCGTTTTCTTTCTTACCCTATGAATATGTATGCAAGTGTATTCAGTAAATAACAATGCACATATAATAGTGTAATTAAGCTTAATGAGTTAGCAACATATCTGCTTCTCATTGTTTTCACAGGTATCTCATAATATTGCTCTGGAGGCCTTTATGATCAAGCCATCTAGTTTCACAGGAATGACTTGCACTGCCTTCCAGAAAATATCTGCAAATTCTGACAAGTCAGTGGTGCATGATTTGGGAACCTGGGAAGCAAATCACCATCCTGATCAACATTTGAATTTCAAGTGCAACACTGGCAATCTGAATGGTTCCTTGGTGAATTCTTCTACCAGGGTAAGTCAATACAATCGTGAATATACCTTATCTATTTCAGTGTGTTTTCAGTAGTATCTTTAAGCAGAATACTGATTTGGAAAAATTATATTTTATGTGTTATTAGCATTGTAAAGTGGTTAATAATTTCAACATCTAAGTGGCCTTGAACTAATGTATTGTGTGTTTATTTTGTTATGCTAGTGGATATTTCATTAATGTAATCAGGTGGAATGCAGGAAGTGAACAGGAAGGAGTAAATGTCTTGTTCTTTCTATCTCTGGGTCCAGTTCTGCAAACTTTTCTATGTGCAATCTCTTTGAAGTAATTCAGAAATATTTTTTTTAGTGAGGTGGTCTTGGGGGATTTTACGTTGCAAAAATATAAATACTTTTTTTTAGGGAATTTACTTCCACTAAAAAATATTACATTCTCTATCTTCTGGACTTTATACAAAGGGAGAGTGTTTAGTTGGAGTTTTTGAGTAGTAGCAAATAAAAACAGTAATAAATAAGCCTTTTAATAGAATGCACTGTTATTATTAAATAATGAAGTAAAACAATTAAATTTTGATCTAGCAGGAAATGGAATTTTGCATTTGGCTGAGCATGTTATTAAATTTAAGTATTGCAAAGTTGAATTTTTGTGGTACTTCAGCTCAATCTTGGTTTAATAGGCTTATTTCTTGAAATACTTACTATGACAAATTGATACTTTTCTGGACAATGTTATTAGGTTAGTGAACTTTGAAAGTGTTTTGATTGAAGTTATTTTCTCTCTGGTGCATTTTATTCTTCTGTATGGACTATGCAGTCAGTGATAAGGTAGTTTATGCTCTCAGGATCTTCTGTTAAAAAGGAGTATCTTAATAATGGAAATATAGGTTAAATCTTTCCTGCAATGGAGTTAATTTCTTCTGTGGACACTGTTACCATGTCTGTCTAGGAAAGAGAAAGTTGTCTCTTAAGAGTTGGACATTCGTAAGATGAAAACCAAATGTCAGAGATCGAAAAGAGATAAGATTTATGCAAAAAGCAACAGTGGAATACTCTGCAATGTATGGGATAGTATTATCAATATAGAAATATACGTGGGATTACATGAATTGGGGAGTGTTCTTTAGCAATATATTGTCTAACAATATATTTTGTATTCCTTCAGAAACTGAATGCCAACATTTCTAGTAAATGAATCTCTTGAAAGTTTGATGGTCAAGCACTGGTCTCTCTCCTATTATAAAGAATTCTACCATAAATGCAAATTTCTCATCTCTCCCATCAGCATGCATGTGTCAGATATGCACAGTAGGTTAGAATATTTATTTGAAGCCCCTTTCTAAAATGTTGGCAGAATGTCACAATATAAAGATCTCAATAAAATCGTTCCAAATGTATTTGAAACCTAGCTGATTTTTTACAACACGCAGAAGGGAAGCTCTACTGACTACACAAAGAAAGAAGTGAGGAGAAAGGAAGCAAACCTATTACCATGCAAAGTGATTTTGAAGAATGTGATATACTGACAGAAGTGACTTTATTAGATGGCTCACTAGTTACCACTTGTATATGAATTTGTAAATACTACAACAGCACAAAACAGGAGATTATAGATTCAGCTAAATGTTAGTTTCACGGCTTTAGGTTTTAACACTAAGTTGTACTCAGATTTTAAATGTGACGTGTGAATAAACAGACTGAATATATTCCTTCAACTTCATCCTGAAAAACATGATCTTTTCATTCATTGTTATTCTCTGGAACTTTTAGGCTAAGCACTCCTTTAATTCATTCCGAAATGAGTTGCATTCTGCATTGTTTTAATAGAATGATCTGTAGAAATGTAACTGATAACAGAAAATTGGATTCTTTATCATCATCCACTAGCAAAATTATTTCTATATTGGTTCAATGGAGGCAAAGAGGAAACCTACTTGATTGTGCTATGCAAAGGTCAAGAAAACAGAGAATTTGTGATGGAAGTGGGAGTCACTTGTTTTAGTTACCCGTGTTTAGTTGCTATATTTTAAAGTAATACTCATTATTATGCCTGACTCTTTAGAACTGCATCATAGATGCTGAGATTATTCTTAGAATCTTCCTCTATTTAGCATAGAATTAATCTTAAAGAGAATGTCTATATATTTGTGCTAAAAAGTGTAGCCCTCTTCAAATATATAGTATTGCAGACCATCTACTTGCTGTCTGTTGCTAACCAAGTGCACTAATAAATTAAAAAAGTGAATACTCATGAAATTTGTGGGCAGCTGATGGGAGAAGACTGAAGTAGATGAACACGAACTATCTTAAATAATACAATCAAAGTTTTTGTAGTTTACCCATAGTGATATTTCCTGGCAATGGTAGGAAATTGATACAAATTTAGTCAGTGGTTGTCTCTACATAATTTAACCTGATCTGGTTATTATGGGATAGAGAGCCTCCAAAAGGGGAAGAAATATTAAAAATTTAAATAATTAAGTAAAAAAACAGTTAAAAAAGAATAAACTTTGAAAATTAAATAATTTAAAAGGCACTGGAAGAGATCTACCATTCAGAGAAATTCAGGAGATAACTGTTAAAATTACCTATATCCACTTATATTTCAAATATGTGGTAGGTCTTTTACAGCCTAACTTGCAGTGTTTCCAAATACCCTAAAGCAAAATATTACTGCAGTTTGATACACAATTTTTTTCTTTAAATCTGATTCTGACTCTGTAGCCAGTAACCAATCTGAAAGGTTGAGAAGAATCGTTTATCACACTTGTGGATCAAAAGTTTCTTCTGGTAGGATTTAGACCCAGATGCCTTCTCTTCGATGCCATTTCTGCTGTTAGTAGGGAGCTTTTACTGCCTGCCTGGACCCTGCTGGGTGTTAAAAAATGATTCAGATAATATTGCCTTAGTTTTTGATACAGTTGCTTGTACTTTGACACAGTGGTTGTTTTCATCTCTGTTTAAGTAGGCTTAAGGGCACCTTCCCAGCCTTGGCCTCCAGACTGAGATCCTATCCTGTCACAGGAACGCTCCCGAGGCACAGTTCTGTCCCATGACATGGCTGTGGTCTAAGGATATCACAATAATGACACACCGACAAGGGTGCTGTAACATTTGAACTTGGACAATGTGAGAATAGCTTATGAAATTTTAGTGCCGTTCAGTATGAATCCAATGTCTGGTTTCCATTTGATATCAGAGCTGAAGCATACTTTGAACCTAATCTCTGTTCCAGCCTGATCCTGTAAACTATCTCCAGTGTGCAAAGATAATCAGTTATGTGGTTAACCCTTCCTCTGACTCACTAAAATTACTTCAACATAAAATGAATTTTTAAACTTTTTGTACTATCATAATCAAAAGGGTAGTTTATAGGAGACTGTGGATTCAGTGTTCATGCTTGCACTTCAAGGACAGTATTTTATTAACATAATTTACAGTTTTCAGCTTTATTGAAAACACGTCAAATAAAAGGTCTATTCCTCTCTTAAATTATTCTTACACACAAATGAATTAGCAAGTTAGGTTTCAAAGTTTTAGTAATCTAAATTTTCACATGTAATTCCTGACCTGTAAAATTTGAATTCCTCATAATATTCCCTATGCATTCCGTTTAACTTTTAAATTTTATTTAATTCTACTATGCTCTGAGCCAGACTGATCTTTTGATTTGTCAGGTTGTATTACAGGTGATGTCCGTGTGATAAAATGTTAAATGGTGCTATGATTGGTACTAGACATGCCAACCATGAAAAAAAATTCTGAAGTGCTTTCGCAAAATCCTGTGATTACTTCCTTGTACCACTTTGAGACATTACACAAATTTTGTATTTATATTTTGTATTTATATTCTTATCTCACAATATTGCAATCAGTATGTCTCAAAATATACAACCAATATGTAAGAAAATATTTTTCCTGCATAAAATAAATGTTGAATATCAGACCATATAAATAATGTATAAATAATAGTACATTCTTATGTAAAAGTTAACAGAAGTATAGAAAAGAACTTCATGCAAAGGTTTTTTGACAAGACACTTGGAGTAGGATAAAGCACAAATATAATAGCCCAAACAGGACTTGTGAAGGGGAAAGTTTGAAGGTGCAGAAAATAGATCTTGTAATGAAAGTGCCTTTCCTACAATCCACTGTATATAAAATGTTCAGGATCTCTATAGATAATTAGTTATATCCATTTGGAAGCTGCTTAGTAGTGTGTGCAATAATTAACTTTCTCATCAATGTAAAACCTAATTCTTATATAAATAATAATTACAATTTACACTGGAAGTGTCAAAGCCAGAGTGTAGGACGTGCAGTTACCCAACTATAGCTTCCAAAATGGTTTCCTACAGTACTTCTGCAAAAACAATTAGTTTTGACTAAGATTTGAGCAATACCTTGTCCTCTTTCAGTGGAAAAAAAAAAAGCAACAGCCTTTAAGAGCTTCTATGCTAGCTCTTTAGATCATATATTTTCATTAACAGGACCCTTCCTCTTGCACTGGCAATTTGTAATGGTATGTATATTCTAATCACCTGTGAACCTGGTTATGGAAAGTACTTTCATATAAGCATGTACATACTGTTACTAATTTCATTGAGTTGCTTATCCATTTAAGACACATTTTTCCATGTTCAGGATGCACGTCACAGGATTTTTTCAAGGCAATAAGATCAGCTAAGGAAATTTAGAATTTGTAGAACCATAAAATGGTTTGAATTGGAAGAGACCTTAAAGATCATGTAGTTCCAACCTCCCTGCCGTGGGCAGGGACACCTTCCACTAGACCAGGTTGCTCAAAGCCTCATCCAACCTGTCATTGAACACTTCCATGGAGAGGCATCCACAAATTCTCTGGGCAGCCTGTTCCAGTGTCTCACCACGTCACAGGGAAGAACTTCTTCCTAGTATCTAATATAAATCTACCCTCTTTCAGTTTGAAACGATTATTCCTCGTCCTACCACTACACTCCCTGGTAGAGTCCCTCCCCATCTTTCCTGTAGGCCCCCTATAAGTAC